GATTCACGGGATAGTTTGAGGAGTTCTGTTAATTCAAGGTGTTCATTGGCTGAGAAGACACTATTACAAGAAGTTTTGAGTGCAATAGATGCCGATAAGCGATTACCTTCTTTACCTTCATCTAACAAGATTTCTGTTACAACCATTGAGGTTGGCCTCAACGAGACAAAATTAAGAGCGAAGATTTCACGTGATGAACAGGATGCAAGGCTAGATTTGTTTAGCAGATTATGTTAGTTACACTGCTCTCGACTTGGAGTATGATCAAAGGCATTGCATTTTCGAGGGTTGCGATTAGTGATCTGCGGGTTTCTCTAACGCTTGATTACTTTGGTAGAAATAGTGATGATGCCGACGACTTTCTGAACGTTAAGATGGTGCTGAGGGACAGCAGATAGGCACAACTCTTCAAATTTTGGAAGAAACTCCAGCTGAATTTCGGAATATTGGTCATGTGCTGAAGTATATTAGGTAGAATGGTAGATAAAGGGAGTGGGAGTACACGCAAAGTGTGACATCAATATGTGGGACGAGTGATGATAGGTATGCAAATTAATGCTAATGCTAACAAGCTTTTCGATCAGAGAGCAAACCCTCTAATTACTTATTTGAAGGGTTTTCCTTATGAACGATTTTTTTCTTTCCGAAATGATGATTTGGTCAACAATGCTCTGCATGAAATCAATAGAATTCTTTACGTAGATTTAAATTCAACTGCAATGTGTTTCTAGCTTCATGCGACTTTGCGAACAATTTTTCCGATAATACGGTACAGGTTCCATAGTTTCAGACCTTAAGTCGCATATCATTTATAAATCTGTATAGAAGTTCAGTGAAAAGTGATCAAATAAATAAATTAGGATCCAATTTACTTATTGTATAGGATCTCTATATGTATTAATGTAGTTCAATAATTAAAGTTACTTTATGGATATCTACTTTTCAATTCTGGTCTACTCTTTTCTCAATATAATGAACTTAAAGGCATTACTCTAATTTTATATCATCACTCGCATCAACCATTCACCTGGTTCATGCATAACTATTAATTTTCTCTATTATTATTTTCATTTATAAACTAATTCATTCTTAGAAGAATTAAACGGCGAAACATTATGTCGGAACCCGTATCGGTGGGAGAAGAGGCAGTGGTTTTAGATGAAACCAAACCATCTACTGTTAATAAGACGGACCGATTAAACAAGACTGAGTATACGACCGATGTTTCGCCCACAAAGAATAGTTCCTATTATTACTGGCACAGTCACGAAAAAGAGCGCGCAAAAGTCGGCGATGTAGCCCCAATGCTCACACCTGTTTTGATAAGCCGCGGTGAAATGGCTGATACGCCGGTTCATGTGCCGCTTCACAAAACGGTAAAGAAATATCAATGGTGCGATGAAGGCCTCAAGACAGTCTCGGTGTACGTGCAGGTCGCTGATGAAGCGGGTGAGGAACTGGACGAGGATTCCGTTAAGGTGGAAATTTTCTCAAAGTCTGTACGAGTAAGCTTTTCCACCCAAATCGTTGCCTCTGCTGCACAAAACTACAAGCAGCTTCACCTTTCTCTGGCCAAAAAGGTCAACCCCAAAGCATCCTCGTATAGGATAAAGTCGTCCAAGAAAGAAATCACCTTAAAACTTATGAAGGCTCAGGATGGGACATGGTTTGACCTTGTAGGCACCCCAGCTTCTGACAGCGACGACGAGGAAGATGGTGTGAATGCTGATTTGACTGAGGATGGAAAAACTAAAGAAAGTGAGGAAGACATGGCTAACAGAGCTGAATAAGGATAATCGTCAATTATTATTATTATCATTATTACTCATTATTATTTTTATTACTATCAATACATAATGAACAGAGAAAAATAATAAATCTTTAGCGTCCACTCCCATTCCTTAGAAGTTACGCCCACGGAACATCCTCAAATTCCGAAAACTTTATTGCTCTTGTTTACATGTTAAGTAACAATTGTCACACTAATGAGTATCTATATCTATATGCATAATTTATCCGTTTGTAATTTTTGCGTTTTCCATGCCAATGAGAAAGCATTAATGGCAATATGAAGGCTTTGTATAAGTGTTCTTATTTTAATTTCCTTAATACAGAGTAAATCAGCATTTCAGTCAAGGTATCTCAGATGCACCGTATCATTTCATTCTCAATAATTTATTTTAGTAGCTGAATATTTTATGATAATAAATATTATTAATATTCAATCGTTAAACAAATTATTCTGAAGGGGCAAACATATTTTATAGACAGTTTTAATCTTCAGGTTACCAATCAGAACAAAATAATGCATTGTAAACAAGGGTATGCTCAATCATTCTGTATCTATTTCCTTTCTGTTTGTTTCGACATAAATTTAGGAATAGTATAGGAATTTTTTTTCAAAGGTAGTTCACAGCTTTATCTCGAAATTTTACAAACACAAAAGGGTTATCTATACTTAGTATACCAATTTAATTTATTCTAACGTGCTCTTTTACAAGAACATAAACTTCACCAAATAAGGATAAATTAATCGGGAGTCTCATAACCTGAAAAGGACAGTTTCTAAAGCAGTGATTTTTAATCACGCAATTATTGTGAATTGGAGAGTTTTCATTTTGTATGCATATGTGCATTATTCTAAGGTCTAAAACACAACTGTTTTAACACGTAAGGAGAAGTAAAAATAATAAAAAAGTAAGCAAACGAATCAAAGAAGTGATTCACTTTTTAAAGACTTATTTATCATAGGGTTGTAGTTCGACTGATTTTCATTGTTTTTATTTTGAAGCTGAAATTGGGTTCGGAAAAGTAAGCCTAAAAACGAAATTAAAAGAATAAGGGTTACTTACCTTTATTCCCCCAAAGCAAAGCTATTTTTTTCCCTTCCTTTTAGTGCAAGTTTCTGTTGAGTTTCTTTGATACATATTTCTCATAGGTTCCGTTTTGTTCAAAACTATTTCTTTCGAAGCCGTTTTTTTTTGGAGCTTCCAAAATTGTTGCCTTACTTGAAAATCTGTACAATAGAACGTTTAAATAATATTCATAATAAAACAGCGAGTTAACATTTTGCGTTGTCTTCCGTTCTTTTGAATCATGAAGAGCTAAAATCGGTAAAAAAAGGTTAAATGTAAGTAATCGTCTATCTCCGAAGGTGTTAGTGTTTACTAAGGGATTAATAAACTAAAAGTATCTCTGCTATCAAGGATATCACAAAGAGCTTTACTTTTGGACAGAGTTTTAGTTCCATCTAAAAAGTTTCAAAGTAAAGATAGCTACTTTATTTTATATACTTTTTCATGCGATTTTTGAACGGGAAGTTTATTTTTTACCTTTTTAAAAAAATAAAAATATATACATAAAGCATACGCATCTATACATTGATTGATTGTCGGCATTATTTATTTAATCCCGCAAAAACACGCACTCCTGTGGGTTTATAAGTGTAAGTATAAATCTCTATATAATTCTACATTGCTGTTGCTTGCACTTGCGTTTATGATTCCATTATAATATTGCTTTACAATTTCTCATCACAATGAATTATTTATTTTTTGTCTAATTTTTTCGTCATTTCACACCCTACCCAGATTATTCAAGCTCTAAAATATCATCTTATACAGGAAAAGTTTCCTAAATATATTTCCTTATTTAGAAATAAACTGAGACAAAAACGAAAAGGAAATTATCGATTTACTAGGGATTATACACAATTCAACGAGTATTTTAGATATATAAGAAGACTCATTGAAGGTCGGTTTGATTTGTGTCTATTCCTTGGCAATTCCAACTTGAAATCTACTTGTCATCATAAGCTTGATTGATCAAAAAAAAATCGAATGGAGTCAAACACTATGATCTTTCCTCAGGGAAATTTTCGGTTTTCGCCTTCCTGTATCGAAAATGCCGATAATCAGTTGAATTTTGACTTTTCATCATGCCTTCAATTATGCGAATGCGAATTTCCGGACGCTTTTGATTTCTCGATGCCTTCCTTCCCTAACTTTTCCATCACCTCATCCCTGGTTGCCACTCCCCTGTGCACAACGCAGAGGATGGGGGAGGGGAATGCCTACATGGATACCGAACCCATTGCTTCCTTCCGCGCCGACTCTATTTCCCTCACTGAACGATCTCTAGGCAAGGAGCCTTGGTGGAAGTTTGAGGATAAGGGCCCTGACACTGAGTTTCGCGTGATGAGTTTTTTTGAGGATCAAAACAGATTCCCCTCCTCTCCCCCCCCCCCTTCCTTCCCTCCCCTTCTCCTGAGGAGGCCGGTCTGTTACAACCCCTCGGAGATGCCGCCTTTGGTTTCTTCCTCTACCTTCCTTCACTCATGGTCGTTGCCGTTGACGGGCGGTAGCCCCTTCACCGCCGCTGCGGAACCCCCCTCCGTTGACGTCAGGTCGTTGAGTGAGATGGAGATATTGGAGAACCGCGACGACCTTCCAATCTCCCCAGACCCGGTGTTGCGTAAGGAGGTTAGGCCCCTGGATCTCTCTCCATTTTCCATGAAGAAGTGGGGGGAGGGGGCCATGTCGTGGGTTGACATTCTTGCGATAAACGAGTCGCCGTCTGGCACTCTGCGGAAGACCCTTTCCCTCGGCGCTAAGCTTCTCTTCAAGAACCTCACTGATAACTGCCTCGACGACTTTATCGAGATTGTTTTTGTCAAGGATTCCTGGCTGACAACGGATATCCTATTTCAGGGCTTATGCCTCGTGAATCGGCTGACGCGACGGTATCCGGAGTGGTATCAAGGATTGCTCAAGGATGACCCTCCTTACACCATCTCCAAGCACTCTGAGGATGGCGAGGATCGCCCGGGCAATGGAGTCGAGCAAATTAAATGGACGGAGTCGACAAGTCTGCGGTGTTTTTTGGCCGTGTTGATGCTCTCGAACAAGTTTCATAGTGACGTCACCTACGATACTGAGTCTGTTTGCAGGGTGGTGGACATCGTGCGGGAGTACCAGATCGAGGCGGGGATGCAAAAGACCAACACACGGGCTTGTCCGACAGATGGTGTTTACCTTCGCCAGAAGTCCTCGCACCTTAATCAGTGCGAGCTGCGCGTGTGGGAGGCCCTCGGGTGTACGGTGTGGGTAACCCCACAAGAGTTCAACGCGTGCGGCGCGTACGCTCACACCCTAGGGCTGGTTGCAAGCATGGGATGCCAATGGCCAAAAGTGAAAAACGAAATCAAATAAAAAATGAATGAAGGAAACAACAGGTGCCCTAAAATGCGTTGAATTGTGTACAGCCATAGCCCGTATTTTAACCACCTGCTCACACGTATTCTGTTATGTCATAATGAACAGATGAAATCTTTTTTATAGCTCATTGCAACTTTAACGTTTTTTTTTGGCGTTTGAGTTTCATTGTAGGTGAAGTTTGACGCTTTTAGGAAGTTCTTATGTGCACATCATATATTGAATATTTCCAATGCACAATTTATATTTTATTTTTATTTTATTTTTTTAGCATATTTTAATTTTTG